GCGGTGCCCTCCTACGCCGCTCGCGCGCCGCGCCCCCAGGGCGTTTAGCGGGGCAGTGTTTGTGCTGCTAACGACCTTCACCCCCGCGGACGGTACCCCCCGCTGCCCTCGCCTCTTCGTGCTCCTCTCCGTACACAAACCAAAAACAATGTGTTGGGGAGTGTATAAAATGGAAATTTTCTTTTTAAAAAAATTAGGAAAATGTCCACATTTTTGGAGGAAAACTTCTCAGATTGTGAGGAAGTTTCCTCCATAAATTATTGGAGAAGATTTATTCCTTAAATATGGAAGTTCCTTCAAGTTTTACATTTTTCCTCAAAAAAACTGAGTCTTTTTTTTTTACCGTTACCTGTGACTTTTTTGATAGGCCGAGTTAAACTGCATTTAATTGATTCCTTTTGCACTCAAGAGTACATGACTAAATGGTTCAGGAAAATAAAGAAAAGAATAAATTGATGACTCATCCCCAAGCTGGGATTTTAGGTGGCCGTTAATCTCCAGCACACAATGCACATTTCCATAAAAAAGATTTTCCCTGTGCCATAGCTCCTCGTTACGATCGAATGAATAAGGAGTTAAGTTAACGTGACCTTAGGTCATTGACCTTTGCCCTCATGCCGATTAATTTTGCGTGAATATTTAAGGAGACTCGAATTGACCCCATTTGAATGCTTTTTCCATGAGGAGATAGTTAATGTGACTCCTCTTGTATCGAAGAGAAGAACTTATCTCCAAATTCCATGTACTTATTTGGGATAGTTCTCTAACCAACTGAACCCGTAGGTCAAGACAAAATTATCTGTCACCATCCTTCGAATACACGTTATTTTTTGGATAACGAAGAGTTTGTGAACAGTGTACTGTGAAATGCACTCCTCATAGGGCATAAATCTGGCGTTTAAGAAAATGCAAATACATCCTTTGTCGCCAAAAGTGGCTGCGGGGTTTACAGTGTGGTGCGGCAGACTACCCGTTGCTGTCGCGTTGCGCGGCGTGTTTTTTTTTTTTTTTTTTTTTGTTGCCGCTGTGATGCGATTGGTCGGCTCAACGGGCGTGTCGGTGTCGGGGCCGTGACGCGGGTCATTTCATGTTTTGCCGCTGATTTTTTTTTCTGTTTTGTATTGTTATTGTAAAGGTAGATGGATAAGGGAGTCGGAGGCGCCACTTCTTGAAGTGTTTCCCGCAAACCTTACTTTCTAAGTTTTGCAGTGGACGAAACGACCTCTTAGACCCAGCTTCGTGCCCCGAGTCGCGTTGCAAAAGCCATAAGCCATCATTGAAGTTGAAGTGATGTTTAATCGGTTCGGTTATTCACTTGGTCGGTGCATTCACGAGTGCCGCCACATGCGCTTGCGTCCCGCTCGTGACTTCAGGCCTGGCGTCGCCGGCCCCGCAAAGCTAGAGATGTTGTACATGGTTGTGGTTGTATAACTTTCGTACATTCTGATAACTCTTTAGTTTTTCTGTTTAAGCTGTAATGGGAGGACGGGTGGATTACTCAAATGTGACAACGGGAAGTCATTCTGTCGCTGCGAAAACTGCGGAAGCTCTGTCTCCGTAGACTTGTGATTCAAAAATCTTTTTGGCCCCTCTTTCCTCTGCGTCGATGAAGACGTTTACCGTGATAGTATTTTTTTCGCCCCTCCAAGCCTCCAAGAATGTTTTTGTTTTTCCTTCCTTCGCCTCCGACACTAACAGCTACGCGACCCGCACCGCCGGCTTCGCTAAAAAACCATAAAGCTGTCATTACTGCACGGCTGCGCGAAGCGCGCTCTATCGCCTTGCTACACTGACACGTATC